AAAAGAAAGAACACACACACACACACACTCAGAGAGAGAGAGAGAGAGAGAGAGAGAGAGAGAGAGAGAGAGAGAGAGAGAGAGAGAGAGAGATTGTAAATGGTTTACGCTTGGAAACACGGAGAAATCCGTGGTGGGTTTATGGTGGTGCTCAAGGCTTTTTCTCTGTCTGGTTAGCCGTTTGGAGAAAAGCCGTTTCGTCTTTGGTAGGTCGCGTACAAGTCGCATTTGGGAGGTCGCGTGTTCAATTCCTCCTGGGATCGGCTTGTGAACGTAGGATTCAATTCAAATTCTTACTCGTTGTCGTCTTTTTCGTTCCTGTCTCTTCCCCTGCTCTTCGTCCTCTTGCCCTCCGCTTCCCCCCACCTCTTCCTCTGCTCTTCCCCCTCTTCTCCACCTCGGTGGGTGGTAGTGTGAGGTGGGCCGACAGGCGAAGGGTTATGCGGAAAGCCTCTTGATGAGACAGGCGCGCACCCGGGTGAGACATGTAGAGAGGAACGCGCGTGCGCGATTTTTTGAGCAGTGTGGACGATTTTGTAAGAAACGGGGAAATTTTTCGATTACGCGTGAAGAGCAATTTGGCCATTGCTTACCTTCTTCTTCTCCTCTTCCTCCTCCTCCTTTATTCTCCGTTCCTCTTCCTCTTCCTCCTCTTCCTCCTACTACTCTATTCTGTGCGCTTCACCTTACTCTTTCTTCTTCTCGTCTAATTGGTCCCCCTCTTCCTCCTCTCCCTCCTCTTCCTCCTCTTCCTCCTCTTCCTCCTCTTCCTCCTGTTCCTCCTCTTCCTCCTCGTCCTCCTCTTCCTCCTCTTCCTCACTACTCTCTTCTCCGTTCTTTCTGTGTGTTGTAATTCAATTCTTTCTTCTTCTCGTCTTTTTCATCCCACCCTTTCTACTCCTCCTCCTCCTCCTCCTCCTCCTCCTCCTGTTCCTCCTTTCTTCTCCGCTCTTTGTGCGCGCGTTTCTGAGCTCTTTTGCGTCCGCGCTTGTTCAATTAAGTCTTATGTTCTGATGCTTCGAGGACTACCGTCTTCACGCTAATATGATGCCCGGTCATTATAGCTGTATTTGGTGCAAATTTCAGTCTAAATGCGTCTATAATGACAGCCCGTTCTATTCGGGTGAAGACCGTAGCGATGGGCCTCGCTGTTTTCTATATTAGTATTGAGAATTGGTCATTATAGCTGTATTTGGTGCAAATTTCAGTCTAGATGCATGTACAATTCTCCTTCTTCTTTTGCGCGTTTTCAACTGAGAATTGTACATGCGGGCGGAAAAGTATTGAAATATCTTGTCGATGCGTGTGCGAGAAGCAGTCTGCTAAAAACAAGAAACTTTTCTTTCTTTTTTTCCTTTTTTTTTGTTTTCTTTTTGTTTTCTTTTTTCCTTTTTTTCCCCTTTTTTTTTCCTTTTTTTTTCCCCTTTTTTTTCCCTTTTTTTCTTTTAAACTTCCAAGAGATGCACAAAGAAAATGCGAAAGTAGGGTGGACAAACAGAATGCAAAAGTAGACCCCATCGCCGAGCAAAGGGGGGGGGGGGGGGGGGAACATGCATCCCCCTTAAATGTGAGAGAGGTAGGTAGCTATGCTTGCAGGGGTCCCCTGTATAGGCTTTTAGGAGTAGCGGTACTAGGTAGATAGTGAAAGGTGAAATTGAGAGAAGAATATAGCCTAGTTAAAAAAAAAAAAAAAAAGCCGAAAGTACTGATTAACTGAGAATGAAAGTACTCTGAAATAGAAGACAACTAAAAAAAAAAAGTGCTGTTAATCTTCCCGCCCTCGGATCTGTCTTTTCTTCGATTCCTC